AGAACAAACCAGACTTCCCTTTGGCAATGCATTTTAATATACCTAGCCACAGTTGGAAAGACATGCAGGTGGTTGCCATAGAGCATTGCCCAACATGGGATGAAACGAGACGACGTACGAGAAAAACGGTTTTGGATCACCAATCTACAAACCCGCTACCCTCGAGGTATGAACGAACGATAGGCGTTTGCCATCCGCTCGTTTTCCTTCCAGGGTGCATTGACCTAATGGTGCATTACTGCAGTTTGTCTGCTATCTCGTCTGCCTGCTTCTGCATGTCAGTGTGTGTGACCAACAGCCGTTGTCAGATTATTTATACAGTATCTTAGCCATTTCATATACTTATTCCTTCTGCACTCACTTATTTGATTATTACATGCATTATTCCTGCAAACCGAAAGAGGCGACTAAGTGTGGACCCCTCTGCTGCGACTGTTAAATCCACTGCAGCATTGCGAGGCGACTAATGTGGGCACTCCGTAGGAAATTGAGATTTTTCACAGTTACCGGGCCAGATTCCCACATTCACATGTTCCACGTTTTTGATATCTTGTCCCTTCTTTCTGGTGCTTATCTCTCGTTGACTCTCTTTATGTGATAGTGCATCTTGCGCAAGAATAGGTCCTCTACATATATTTAGTAGTTAAAGAGTTTTCTAGAAGGGATTCTTCTCCGATTTTGGTTATCATTTGGCGGGTCGTCGTTGTGTTTCATTGGGCGAGTCGTCTTAGTGCACTTTCGCTATAGAGCAGAGCCAGCGAGCGTTCTGATATTTAGACTATCAGCGTTCCTTCTCCGCGATGCTCTCAGCTTAATTGCTGCCTTCGGCTGTCTTTAGCCGAGGGGACTATTGGTTTTATATAATAGCTATATTTTCAATTATAGTATATCAGTTCTATCTTCTTGTAATATGATGTAAATGTACATGTTACTGTTCTGTTTCACTGTGTCTTGATAAAAGAGCGGATCGCTCCGAAAATTTCACAACCTAAACTTGTCCACACTGTTGGAGTTACTTCTTTGCCCAACATATATACTGTGTATGTATACATGCTAAAAAACATAATAAAAGACATTTGACATATTAAATGATTGAAAGGTGTATGGCGTGAGAAAGATCTCCTGCGTGAGGACAATTTATTGTCCGGGGGTTTGAACCCAGGGCCCCTTAATCCTGGCAACCTCCATCCTAACACTATATGTATATATGCATATGGTAAGATTTATGTATATATACACAAGGAAATCTGTTGCTGAGGAATTACATTTCTTTTTAAAAATAAATTGCCCAGACAAGATGAGATTTAAAAAATCGAAAACCGGCATCTCGAGACTGCAGTTACAAAGTAATCACAGTTGAATTGCTTACTTTTGTTTGTAGATAGGTTTACGCTTTCCGATCTTTCATATATAGTATTGTTTTTCTACTCAATTCATATGTTTACTCTATACGCATAGCACTGGCGAAAATTCCGATCTATGTGTCCTACAAAACAAATATGAATGTAGGTCTACAGTCAGGACCGCTGACAGGGGTTCAAAACAACACGTCTGGAAAATGTCTTCGGTCAGGACTGCATGTAAGGGTCAAACACATAACGTGCTAGATGTCTACCACAAATATATCTGTACATATGTCTTCCGTCACGTCTGATGGTAGGTGACTTACACAAACACATCTGTACACTAATGGTAGGTGACTTACAACAAAACATATCTGTACATATGTCGTCAGTCAGGACTGATGGTATGTGTCTTTCACAAACACATCTGTACATATGCCTTCAGTCAGGACTGATGGTAGGTGTCGTACACATACACATCTGTAGATATGTCTTCAGTCAGGACTGATGGAAGGTGTCTTACACAAACACAACTGTACATATGCCTTCAGTCAGGACTGATGGTAGGTGTCATACAGAAACATATCTGTACATATGTCTTCAGTCAGGACTGATGGTAGGTTTCCTACACAAACACATCTGTACATATGGCTCAAGTCCGGACTGATGGTAGGTGACTAACACAAACACAATTGTACATATGTCTTCAGTCAGGTCTGATGGTAGGTGTCTTACACAGACACATCTGTACATATGTCTTCAGTCACGACTGATGGTAGGTGTCCTACACAAACTTATCTTTATATATGCCTTCAGTCAGGACTGATGGTAGGGGTCCTACACAAACTTACCTTTATATATGGATTCAGTCAGGACTGATGGTAGGTGTCCTACACATACACATCTGTACATATGTCTCAAGTCAGGACTGATGGTAGGTGTCCTACACAAACACATCTGTACATATGGCTCTAGTCAGGACTGATGGACGGAATATTACATAAACACAGCTGTACATATGTCTTCAGTCAGGGCTGACAGTAGGTGTCTTACACAAACACAATTGTACATATGTCTTCAGTCAGGACTGATGGTAGGTTTCCTACACAAACACATCTGTACATATGGCTCTAGTCAGGACTGATGGAAGGTATATTACATAAACCCAGCTGTACATATGTCTTCAGTCAGGGCTGACAGTAGGTGTCTTACACAAACACAATTGTACATATGTCTTCAGTCAGGACTGATGGGAGGCGTCCTACACAAACTTACCTTTATATATGCCTTCAGGCAGGACTGATGGTAGGTGTCCTACACATACACATCTGTATATATGTCTTCAGTCAGGACTGATGGTAGGTTTCCTACACAAACACATCTGTACATATGGCTCAAGGCAGGACTGATGGTAGGTGACTAACACAAACACAATTGTACATATGTCTTCAGTCAGGACTGATGGTAGGTGTCGTACACATACACATCTGTATATATGTCTTCAGTCAGGACTGATGGAAGGTATCTTACGTAAACACAGCTGTACATATGTCTTCAGTCAGGATTGATGGTAGGTGTCCTACACAAACACATCAGTACATATGGCTCAAGTCAGGACTGATGGTAGGTGACTAACACAAACACAATTGTACATATGTCTTCAGTCAGGTCTGATGGTATGTGACGTACACAAACACAACTGTACATATGTCTTCAGTCAGGACTGATGGTAGGTGTCGTACACATACACATCTGTAGATATGTCGTCAGTCAGGACTGATGGAAGGTGTCTTACACAAACACAACTGTACATAAGCCTTCAGTCAGGACTGATGGTAGGTGTCCTACACATACACATCTGTATATATGTCTTCAGTCAGGACTGATGGTAGGTGTCTTACACATACATATCTGTACATATGACTTCAGTCAGGACTGATGGTATATGTCTTACACAAACACATCTGAACATATGTCTGCAGTCAGGACTGATGGTAAGTGTCTAACAGAAACACAGCTGTACATATGGCTCTAGTCAGGACTGATGGACGGAATATTACATAAACACAGCTGTACATATGTCTTCAGTCAGGATTGATGGTAGGTGTCCTACACAAACACATCTGTACATATGGCTCAAGTCAGGACTGATGGTAGGTGACTAACACAAACACAACTGTACATATGTCTTCAGTCAGGACTGATGGTAGGTGTCCTACACAAACACATCTGTACATATGGCTCTAGTCAGGACTGATGGTAGGTGTCTGACACACCACACGTTTATGTTGATGAGCAGTGACACTCATCTGATATATGTTACCTTATTTGTGTTGTGAAGGTGCTTGGAGAACACTTTGGATATCAATACATTAATATTTTTTGTTCGGGATAGCGTCGACAGTCAGCCACCTCGAAGCGATTCTTGAAGTTTGTTTGTGACAAAACAGACAGAGAGGTATTCGTAACTGTTAAAACTATCAGACTCATTACATGTATCACGAATAGGCTCTGGCATAACTGAATTTTACAATTTTCACGGGAAGGATTTAATCGTAATGCTTTGTTAATTGATAGGTTTGTCCTAAAATACATATTAAAGTTATTTTCATATCGTTACCTGATAAAATCACACACGACCATGTTGACCCGTAAAATGTCGCGATATAAAGGCACTGCATAATGACCGTTACCAGGGGAGATAACCCATTAAAGAATAAAAGACTCTTTCCTTGTTTACTTATTATTATTTTGATATATGTTGGCGTTTATCTCTCTTTTTAATAGCAACATTTTGGTCTACAAACATTCAAGTCATTATTTTAAAGGTAAGGTTTAACTCGAAGCATCTGGGTCGTTCGTTCAAAGCCTAAAAAGCTTTAGCACAAATTCAAAAAATAAATAACCAAATAATTAAAATAGAATATGATCTGATCTGAAACTTAGATTAATAATTTTGAGTGCTGATACATACAACTTTAGTTTTGAATTTCAGTTATTTTTGAAAATATACGAAATCAAAATTTTGCGCTATCTTGCATCTGGGATCTGATTTCGTTTCCCAGTCTTTTTTAATGTCTTCCCTTCTGTTTTGGATTCTTCATTTGCTGTTGATATATTTTTGCTTCGGTATTGGGATTTAATTTTTGTTTTCTTTTATTTTCATGTTGTGGTGATTTGTTTTCTATTTTTAAGTTCAGACTACATGCTGCTAAAGACAGTATTCCAGTGATGCGGGTAAGGGTTATTTCCCTTTATCATTCAAACAATCTCCCTTAGATATTCAAATCTTGTCATCTTGTATTTCTACGTTGTGGTATTTAGTTAATATTTTCAAGTTAAAATTAAACGCTACTAAACAAATTATCTCAGTAATTCGGGTCAGCATTGTCTCCCTTAACATCAGTTTGACCCGAAATCTATGTCAAACATTTATTCACTTTACAGATTTGTTAAGTTTGTTATCCATATCACAGTTCAGTAACATATATCCCTAATATGGAGCGTGTTGGACCCATTTTGGTTCTTTTGAATGCATTTGTTGTGTCCTCTTGTAATACATTTTGTTTGATCCAGTCTCCATTTATTTTTGAAACGTGTATTTCATTTTAACATTATAAATAATATCATATCTGTAAGAAAAATAAACAATAAATATTGCATTTTTTTAGTTTATTTTGCAGACAAACAATAAAATAGGAATGTTGCTATTGACAACTAAAGCACCTACTTCTACAAGTATTTGTATAGTATTGCATAAACGTCCGTATAGATATGTAAAAAACATTCAAACCGTAGTTTCGTATGAAAATGACCATTTACATAAATACTGCATTTTAGTGATGCAGAATACTAGTTTGTGATTCATAGTTTTTGTATAAACCTTTTGTCACGGGGGTAAATGTATATTGCACTATGCAACTATGGTATCGAGGAGGTGTCTTCTTTCGGGTCTTTGCATTTAGGTTAAATTTTGAAAGACAAAGATTCTGAATAAATCAGTTGCTCCACTTTGTCAAGAAAAAAGGTAGAAGGGAAACGTAGCTAATTCCTTAATATTGAAAGGCGCCATTTAGATTTATCTGTATCATTCTTGAATATGGATAAAACTTATTATGAAATTGAACTTCATAAATTTGGTAAGTATGAATGAACAAATAATGATATATTAATGCAAAATGATTTCTGATTTCTTTATGTTTAATACACATTATTATCAGAATAAAAATAACTGATGCTTCCTTGCAGTCTAGTATGACGACAAAACATCTTTACTATAAAATACGGTTGAGCTGAAACTTGCATATGTAAAAATGATAATCAGTAACATAAGTCAAACTAAAAATAGAAAAAAAATGCAAATACATTCTTGCATATTGTTCTTGAATCCAAAGTATCATAATTACATTGCACTGAATAAAAACGACATAAATAGCCGTTGTTTCGGGACATGTATCGCTTGTATGACACACTCCAAATACTGTGAATATCTTACATCTATCCGAATCATGCGTCACACGACTAACAACAGTTGAATGCTTAAATCTGTAGAGACGGTATATCTTTCTGGAAACACCTGATTGAACTCCAGGATAGCTCATCCGCCGCCGAGATCACGTGTTGTATTTTGCGTGCTTGGTTTATTACAAATAAGTAAAAGTAAAGTTTTCCACTCTGGTTTCAATTAATGTTCAAAAATAATGACAAACCAGATTTTTTTTACAACTAATGTTAACACGAAAAAGTAGAGATAGAGAGAAAAAAATGCCCCTCATTTATTTCCTGTCGGTTTACAATAGTCTTTACAAGTTTGTTTTTATTTACAGTGCGCAGAGCTATCAACACAGTTAAGATAAATATACCTCATAACACATATCTTATGACACCGTTTCGATGAATATACATGTACAGTATATACTTACGACAGTTTTACGTCCGTTTGCTACATCCTAAGTTGCAATTAATATAAGCTACTATATATATACTGTTTAGAATATAGATATATCAATCTTTATATATCATAATGCAAAATTACTATTATACTAATGTTATTCACCGATGTTAACGGTAATCATGTTTCAATCCTTGGACATAATGTTCGCGTGGAAGCCGTACCAAAGTAGGCCCTACATTTCTAAAATTAACTTCAGTTCCGACTTAACCGTACTAAAAGTTAGTGTTTTTCTCTCGAACAATCTTCATTTTTTTTTCATGATTTCACGTAAAATTGCATTGCATTATTGAAAAAAAATCTCGATTTTTTTTTACTTTCCACATATTTGCCATTATTTTTGAAATTTCAAATTTGATTCAAGTAAAAGCTTTAATAACATTTTCAAGCTGATAATTTTGTTTCTAATATAAAATTATGAACATTGTGGAAATCATTTTGAAAACTGTCTTGCAACATATCTTATAAAAGTAGAAAAACAAACATAACTTCCGGAATAGTTAAGAGGGAACTGCATTGTTTTCGGAGAAGTTGAGTCTTGTTTTTATCGCATCCTCTGATATAATCAACATCAGTTTCAACTATGAAATTATATACAATTCATAAATATATGTAAATTGTTTTTAAAAATTCATCTCGTATTAATTGAAGTGTGTATTTTTTCAAGAATATTTCCGATTACAATCCTTCACCAAAAACACGAGATACGGCTAACATATGAACAAAACCCCCGAAATGCAGCCTCGTTATCCAAAATCTCAACATGATTAGCACTCAGTCCATTGGCTGCGTAGCATCACGTGACTCTAGCATCCTTTTGGCCCATCCAATACCTTCTGGATAAAGTCTGTAAAAAAGGCGAATAATATTGAAATACAATTTATACTACGATTCCTGAATGTTAAAGAAGGAGGAGAAAAGGAAAGGGTAAGAAGGAAGGAAAGAAGGAAGGTAGGGAGGAAGAGAAAGAGGGTAGGGAAGGCAGGGAGGAAGAAAGGAAGGAAGGAAGGAAGGAAGAAAACATGTATAAAATACAAATAATTACATCAATTAATTTTTAAGAGGAAATCATATACAACAATTGTAGTTAATCAGTACAAAATGTTTAAGATTAATGGGGACATATTTTAGAATAGGTAAGTATCATTGCGGAAACCACAGCCCCTGTTGGTTTTTTCTCCATAAAATCAATAACGGAACTGACGCCACTATAACTGGGGAGAGATTTTGTCTATTGCCGGGGATCCACAATGTATTTGTCTATTGGGGATCCACAATGTGTGCAAAGCAGTGAAGTTTGTAGTATATCTACATACAATCGGTGACGAAAGAAGTTCACGTACACCCATTCCATACACAGGGACCTCAGAGTTTGTTAGAGCTGTATTTGGACTTACACTAACTTAAGCTTCAGAGCATTATTACTTGTTTTAGGGGTTTAGACCGAATTTCGGTAAAAATGCCCACAATGCTAATATATTCGAGAAGGGAAGAAAGCTCGTGGTGTCGAAAAATCGACCCCACCTAAATTTCTTGGATCAAAAACCAAATTTCTAGTTTATGTACGAATAAATGCTTAGCACCGTTGTAAAGATGGATAATTTTTCTTTTAAAAACCTTCTTTATGCACGTAAAATGTATTTTTCTTCAGCGGACATGATCTTCGTTTCCGTTTATTTTTTATTGTCCACTGTATACTGTACTAAGAAATACAATGTTTCAACATTTAATATGGTATACCAATAATACATTATTGTTTGGTGATATTTCGTTAGATGTAAAATCAAACGAAGTTATTTGTAGACATGTTCAAACATTTATTGTTGATAGTAAACGGTTTGCATAAATACAGGTCAATATATAATGTCATCTATACCTAGCTGTTGTAATACTTAATTCATTTATCAGTATCTTTTTTTCTGATCTCTGACTCTTTTCTACTGGGTTTTTTCCCCCATTTTTTTCCTTATTTTTCTTTTCTATGTGAAATTTATCATGTGCTCACTATAATTCGGCCATTGCTAACTTTTGTGTACTTGTATTATGGAGAGGACATTGATAAGTTGTGATAACTTGTGTCCAATCCTCTTTTGTAGTATTTTTGCAATAAAAATGTTTAAATTCAATCCGTTTCTTCCAAAAACACACGCCAATTCCGAGTTTCAAAGTTTTTCGCAGTCATAGAGCCACCTTTTGCATATTCATGAAGTTGACGTCAGCCCCGTGCCGAAACATGTATTCTTGGTTGGCTAGTTATTTTAGAGAAACAATGGCTGCGCTTCCAGCCAACCACACCACGGGTCTCGGCACGTGGCTGACGTCAACCTATGTAGAGGAATGATTATTATGACATTACTGACCTTCATATTTAATATTGCCGTCCAAATCGGCTTGTATGTCTGTGAGTTCTAAAATATCGTCCAATTCCCTGTCTTCTATCCGGTCACCTGTCAATCAAAATACCGATTTAGATACATATCTACTTAAACATGTCATTTGTATAAGAATGATCGTGAGACACAAAGTTGATGTTACCTTCAAAATGAATACAGTATTGTCAAAGAGGAATTACACCCCACAAAACAGCTGTTTCGTCCTACTAGGGCTCCTTAGTGATACTAGGGGCCAAAAAGTTGGAGAAACAGGTGGTCAGGTGAGAAAAACACCTTTCCAATGAATTTAAAACGTTAGAGGAGTATTGGTTAATTTGACATTAAATCAATAGTGAATTGTGTATATTATAGACCGTGCCACTATTTAAAAGAGATAACTGTGGCCAACAAGATAAAGGTACGCATCGGGCACTAAAACATCCACCAGCAGAATGTACCACCTTGTATCGTGAAAGATGAACGGAATACACACCACAGGAGATTGTACATTTAAAATTTGGTAGTAGGCAGAGTATACCAAAAATGAATTACACTGCAATTTTTTTTTTTTTTTTTATTTTTTTTATTTTTTTTTGCAAAAACTTTACCTCGCTTGATACATAAAGCCAACTTCTCAACAAATGTAGGTTCATATGGTTTGTTCAACAGTGTAATCAATAATTGATTTTTGCGGCAGTGCTACATTGTATCTACGTAAAATATGTATTTACTCTGTTGGGCTCTCTGCGTCTACAATCAAAATTTCCAAAAAGATGCTTCATTTCTTTGAACTTCTAGTGATGACAATATATATTCGAGTAAGATAAATCGTCAAATTCATTCCTACAGCGAACAGATCTACTTGAAGAAATGAATGAATTCAATATATTTGTGAATATGTCTAGTAAGAATGAACGCAACAACGAATAGGTCTTACACTAACGAGACCTTAAATGAAAGATTGCACGAAAAAGTATAAAGCCACAAAATAAAAAAAAACTTGAAAAACATTAAGTGATAACCGAGTGATAAGGCGATGATGTCTTTTTATTGTTATGCTGAAGATGGTGAAGACGATAACGATGATGATGATGATGATTATGATGATGATGATGATGATGTTGATGATGATTATGATGATGATGATGATGATGATGATGATGTTAGTCACAACAGAATATAACGCCGAGTATTAACTCATTCACCCCTGCAATTCCATAATGAACTATTCCAACCTTTGAATTGGAAGAGTTCAAATGTGTATTCAGGGGTGATTGAGTTAAACCTCTATGACCATCATTTGCAGACAATGCGTATAACAATTGGATGACATCATTCTGCATCAGATTAATTAGTAGCATACCTATTGCCGTAAGCATGTGCCGTGTCTCTCCCAAGGAAATGAACCCCATGCCCTCCCTGTCGAACGACTTGAAGGCCTCCATGAATTCAGCTTTCGTTCCCGTGTCCTTCTCTTTCACAATTTGGTTAACAATTGGCAAAAATTCCTCGAAAGAATACTGTTTCTCGCCTGTAGAATGAAATAAATTAAATTAACAATAATTGAACCTCGTTTTTTTCTGCGGATCATGTCAAACGGTTTTGGGCCAAACGATCTATATTATTGTCTTTGATACAGTCATGAGGCAACGCTTTTTCAACAAATATGAACTGTCAATAGATATATCTTCCCATTCTTTTTAAAGTAGTGCAAGTCAATTAATTGAACAATATTAATGTAGAATCGAGACAATGCCAAAGACTACGTCTCATTGCAGTTATTCAAAACGTCATTTTTTTCGAAAGAAATTTTGTAGAAAATTTCTTATATTCGTGTGGAAAATTTGTAGAAGACAGTTCCCTCTATTTGTTATTTTGTACTAATCACATTGAATCACGCCAAAGATACTTGACTCCTTTGTCTTACCAATAATGTGTTGATTTACTACTGTTTGGTGATGTATCGTTAACGTACGATCAAAATGTAAAAATGTTGAAAGGTACTCAAAATGTTATCAAATCAACTAGAAGATTTACAAGCAATTATAATATAACTACATTAATTTATCATGTTAACTTCACTACCCATTCAACCGGGTAAAACTCCATCAGTTACTTTATCTATCCCGAATATCATGTTCTATCTTTCAATCTCAACAGTTTCTTATGTACTTATTCAGGCTATCTCTGTAAATGTATACAGCTGTACACTGTGTTGTATCTTTGAGCAAGATATTTTACCCCGCTTGTTCCAGTCTACTCAGCTGTAAATAAGTACGTGGTTGGGCAGTGCTTGACTTTTAGAATGCTAGCTGTGAGCGCTAAAATGGCAGCACCGGCGGTATGCTGCCCAGGGAGTTGAGAAAGATATTGGCTGGTTGCAAAGGCCCTATAACCACGGATAATACTTTGTGAACCGCTTTGATACGACCTACGAACTAGGCTGTGATAAAGCGGTATATATGAACCTCTAATTATTATTATTATTACATGTAGCAAAGCTTGTTATGAACGATGAGAAGGTTTATGTACGTTAGTACTTGTTTCCCAATCATCACAATCAAATGTGTTTTGCAATTGTACATGTTAATATACATGAATAAAATATGGTTTAAACTAATTAATCCATAATTTTCATAAGGTCAGGATCCGCGGAGACATCAGAGAAAAAGGGAAGATATCATGATGGAACGATCATACCACTTGTCCATGTATATGCTAAGATTATTTTTTTTAAAGAATAAATGTGATTCTCACCTACTTCGTGAAATACATGTATATTTTTACTAAAAATTCTTTCTTGCAAAAAAACTGTTTTTAATTGAAATTCGATGTGACTACACGTTTAGATATATATTTAAGCAATATAGAAGCACGGATATTATTATTCCACTTGTGGTGTTTTAACAGATTCTTCATTGACCAAAAGGATATATAACTTTCTGAATTTGAATGTCAGACAAGCATGTTCTTTTTCTATAAACATGCATCCTCGACATCCAGGGGTTACGCTCACCTTCGCTCTCTACACCCCTGAAATATGTCATAGCAAAATTGAACGCTCAGTGTGCGCCACCTTGTTGATGGGACAAGAAGACTAGTTCGATCCTTTGATGTACATCAAAAGAATCTCGCGGTCACGTAACGGTAAACATTGACAGGCTTTGAAGTCGGGCGTCTTTCCTTTGTAATCTTCAAAGGACAGGTATCGGCCTAGCGATTAGTCAGGTGTATTTTTTACCTGGGACCAGTTATCTTCGTGCCTTCAATTTTGCTATGACATATACCAGGGGTTCAGAGAGCGAAGGTGAGCGTAACCCCTGGATATCGAGGATGGGTGAGCGATTGGTATTGTTTACCTGTATAACGGTATGCCAAAATTGTATATTTCTTATCGGTCTTGAAAACGTTGCAACACGTTTAATATGTATATTGTTTGTAATAAAAAGTAAAACTTTGAAATTTTATATTTCCAAACTGATGAATCTTATTAAAGATAAAGTAAGATTTCGTTTTCCATTCTGCCAATCAATGCCTATATTGTATGTATTTCTGCTTCCCATATTAAATCTTTCTCATATCACCCCTGCAGGTGGGGGATCGAAAAAAGAATACACCTGCTGTTACCCACTGCATGTATCGTAAGAGGCGACTAATGTGTAACCCGACAGAATCGGGATTTGCTTTTATGCCCTCTACTTGGGGTCACAAAAGCGAACAAAATAAATCTGCTGCACCCATTGCAATATTTGGGATCTTTATATATCTCTCTTCTTCTAACTACCTTTGATTTCCTAACGCCTTGATTGGCAATATCTCACTTTTGGCTCTAGTGTTGAGCGTTCGCCCGGGTGAGGAAGGCAATGGGTTCTGTCCCCAGGCCGGGACATACCAACGTCCTTAAACATGGTAGTATTCCCTGCTTAACGTTCAGCATTTAGGGTAATGACAACAACTGGTTCACCCGTTGTCAGTATAATGTGACCGGGTGGAATATTGTACTGAGTGCTCTCGGAAATTTATTTCAGTGAGATAGCACTATAAAGTCGGCATCAGATCCGCGCTATCACAAGGGGGCAATTACATTGACATATCCTGCCTCCACAAGATACACACATGCACGCATTCACACTACATATAGAGGCACATCCTGAAATGACTTAAGCTGTTAATAGGACGTTAAACAAAATAAAACCAAACCAATCTTTCTCAATGTAGTACTCGTGAATTATTCCTGAAGTCCTAATGTTTGTACTAAATAAATCTTCCATTTCATACACCATTTCCTGGTGGTCTGCGTTTCTAATTCCATATACACATTCCATTTTTGCGGTTAATATTTGCTCCGGAGGCATTTTTCTTATCAATAAAATGTTTTTAAAACATCAGTTATATTGTTTTCTATACCCGCATATAACTAGAAATCATGCGTGGCATGCTTATTTTGCTTAATTTTGCTTTGAGTAATCTATTCCAGTGACGTAGAGAACGAAACTGTGCGTAAACCCCTGAAATTTCGTCATCTCTTCAAAAGCATGTAGCATTTCAGATATTTTTTCATAATTTTGTATAGATTTTTCGGGTTTATTTCCAAAAGTTCATAAAAATAACATCATCAGTTTGTGAGTGAATTTAATTCCAAAACAATGACAAAAACCATCAATAATTCAGGGCAGTTCGAAATGCTGTTACATTTCTCAAAAGAATAACTCTCATCCTATGTCCCTTTAAACAATAAAATAAATTCATGATATGTTTTTTATATTTACAAAAAAGCAGCATTATTTAAATCAATTCCAGTTAATAACATCTCCCAAAGGGGTATAACTCTCTCCCAACTTTCCCTTAAATTAATTAGATTAATTTATTATATGCTTTTTACGTTAATTCCAGTTAACAACATCTCCCAAAGGGGAATAACTCTCTCCGAACTTCCCCTTGATAATTAAATTAACTCATAATACATTTGTGAGCTAAAATAGCATTATTTAAGTTTATTTCAGTAAATAATTGCGATTTACAGGAATATATAAAGAATATAATTAATTTTGGAATTTTTAACCTAGGCATCTTACCCATTTTTTTCGTGCCGCCCGACTTTCTGATTATCGTGTCTGTTGGATTTAGTCCGCAGCACCGCAGAAGGTCGCCTACTTTAAATGCATCTATAAGCCCGTCTCGACCATCCCAAAAGTCGAAAAGGTCAAATACGTCCTTCATGTCTGAAAAATAAAAAATATAAGTAAGAATATATCATCAAAAACTCTTACATCAACAACTGATCACCCTCAGGGGTTACGCCCTCTTTCGCTCTCTGCGCCCCTGGAATCATCCTCAATACTCCAGGGTTTACGCCAATTTCGCTCTCTGCGCCCCTGGAATCATCCTCAATACTCCAGGGTTTACGCCAATTTCGCTCTCTGCGCCCCTGGAATCATCCTCAATACTCCAGGGTTTACGCCAATTTCGCTCTCTGCGCCCCTGGAATCATCCTCAATACTCCAGGGGTTACGCCCATTTCGCTCTCTGCGCCCCTGGAATATGTCAAAGAAAAGTAATCTTCAAAAGGACAGGCATCTGCCTAGGTATTGGTCAGTTATTTTTTTACCTGAGACAAATTGAAAAGCTAGCCTTTGCCTTCAAATTTGCTATAACATATTCCAGGGGTGTAGAGAGCGAAAGGGAGCGCAACCCCTGGAGTTTCGAGGATGATAACTGGTATGAGGTTTTTTACTTTGCCCCTTTGGTCACACCCTTGTAACCGTCCCCGTGATTGAAGAAGCATGTCTTATTCCAATCCAATTACAAATTCTGACATAGCGAGAAATTACTTGATAAATTAAGGATATATCAATTTATTTTGTTTTATTCCAGGTGCCGCCCAGGAATGCAAATTTAACAGTAGCATTGTACTTAATGTATTGTGCTAATATATAATGAATAAAAGCCAATTATTTCTCGTTAGATAGATAGGTAGGTAGGTAGGCCGAGTGGATTCCCATAAAATGATCAACCAAACAGAATTTCTGAAAGCCTATTTCCTTCAATGATATCTTAAGGGCGTACGCTACCTTACCATATTATCATATAAGCGTACCCCATCTTCCTTCAGAAGTATTTTAATGAACGTTAACCTATCTAACAGAGCTACACAGAGAGAATGTACCGTTCAGAAGTGTGACCAATTATTTGGCCAATTCGTAAAATATAAATATAAATTTCTTTTGTAATGTTTTCCATTTCAATGGGGGTCACCTGCCCGTCCACATGGGTTTTCTCCGGGTACTCCGGTTTCTTTCCACATAAAGACCCCCCGCCCCCGCTCGTTTACATCCGGGCCACCAATCATGATAAAAAAAAGTTGAACCAACTTGTTTCATACTTGTTGTCAAACAAATAAAATTTATATATACATGACAAAGTAAACAAATACTAATACCTTTCAGTGTCGTTTCAGTCATTAACTAGTTACTGAATAGTTAACAAATATTGTCCCCCTAAAACTGCAGTGGGAGAGGGGTCCTTAAAGAAATGTGTATATGGTAGCATACAACCTTAACTCTTACGGAACTCACATGTATAATGTATAAGGTAGCATACAACCTTAACTCTTACGGAACTCACATGTATTATGTATAAGGTAGCATATAACCTTAACTCATCTCAAACACAAAGTACAGGTAGAATGTGTAAGGTAACATATAACCTTAACTCTTACGGAACTCACATGTATTATGTATAAGGTAGCATATAACCTTAACCCTAACCGAAATCACAGGTATAAAGTAATATGACTTCTAAACCCAAACAAAGGTCACAGATATAATTCATAAAGGAGATATTTGTAACGTAGTATACAACCTTAACGATTATGAAATGGATATACCGGAAAATTTTCGCGCAGTCACACCTTCGCCCAGTCAAGTTTTCGCCCAGTCAAACTTTCGCCCTTTGCCGTTGAAATCCATATTCGTCCAGTTTTAATTTTTTCCTTCATCTTTAATTGCTATGTATATTATTTTGTTTACTAATGTGTGCTGTAATGATAAATGAGGGCGAAAAAGGCGAAAATTAAACTGCAGCGAAAATTTCCCAGTATAAAGTATTGAAAATTAAGCATAAAAATGAATTGAAAGTAACATAACATATCTATAATCATAATGCTTCTCTCCGGTAGGAACCAGAAACGTTAAAAAATCCAAACCATCTGAGGCTCCGACTAATAGCTTACTATCGGTCTCCTTTTTGGATAAAACCCCACCACAATTCGAGAAAATACGTCTCGTGATCGTTAAAAACAGCGGAACTTTGTTAACGAGCCGATGACTGGGAGGCATTCTTAGATAAATATTTTAGGCACATCATTTCATCAGATGCTGGCACCACTAAGGTCGACAAGACTTCACTGCTGTGAACCGTCCATCTTAAACCCCGTCATATCGGTCCTGTCTGCTACTGAAATTCACAGACCTATGATGGCAGTTTCGATACAGAGTATGGTTACTATACACAGCTATGTTTTTGCGTGGTATTATTTTCGCTTTAACCCTTTCACCACTGCAAACCATAATGGACTCGGCAATGTCAATACTTGGTAGAGTCTACTAAAGCTACATAGGGACGAAAGGGTAACTGTCTGTTATCGCAAAATATTTACTTGTTATTAAGGGTAATTACAAATCCGTTCTGTAATGAATTTTGCGGTTTCGAAATTCATTTATGTTGATATTTCTGCCATCGAATTTCTACTTACGAGTTACCTTTATCAACATCATTTCTAAAAGATGTCCACATCATCTGCAGGTCTGTGGTAGCACTGATAATGTTTGCAGTTGTGATGAAATCATGTAAACGAATTACTACGAAAATTACGAAAATAACTAACGCTTTAAGTTAACAGTTGTTACAGTAAGCCACATGACGTTTACACTGTGTGTTAAAACAGCACGTTATTATTAAAAACTGGAGCAAATCTAAAAAAAAAAGGGTTGTTGTTTTAAACAAATACCGGCGTTACTTTACAGTTTACGACTTAATAGCCATTTAAATTGCATAAAATTCAACCTGCATACCTTGCTCGACATCTCCAACATGTTCCAGGGAACACTCAACGCAATATAATGCCAAAAATGCTGTTAATTTATTTTTGTTGGCCTCGGTGCAGAAAAAGTTCGTCTTTTATTCTAAACAAAGTATGTACACCATTTCCTTTGGCGAATAACGTTTACTCTGAATACATTGGGTACTGTTTGGATGTCGTGATGTACATTGTAATTAAATATATCATAGCAAACAACGACATATGATGCACAGGTGGTCGAGCGGCTCTATGGAAAGCGCACTTGCCTTTTACCAAGGCGGCCGGGGTTCGATTCCCCGATCGGACGTGAACAGGTATGGACCTGCCCGAACACGTGGGTTTTCTCTGGGAACTCCGGTTTCCTTCCACAGTAAGACCCCTGCGCGCTAACATCCGGGCCAACAAGAGCGATTAATATAAGTTGTAAAAATTTGTTTCATAATTGTTGTAAAATAAATAAAGTTTATATATGAATATGATTTTGTTATTTGTGTTTCCCTGGGACGGATCTACGTAAAGTGATTAAAATCTGTTCGTTCACAGTCTCTGAAACCCAATTCAGTGTGACAAACTTAATTGGAAAGGAAAACTGCGAAGAAAACTCAAATTGAAAGCAAAGCACGTGATATGAGGCGGTACATTTGAATACATTTCGATTGGGAAAAAAGACAACAGAAGGAACCAAGAACACACCAAAACAAAAGGGAAAACACCACTTACAATAACAGGAAAAGAAATCCCACATTAA